TTAATTGGGATCCTCGTAAAGAGTATCTTCTCGGACCTGGATCTCTGGTACGATTGGGGCGTGCAAAGACTCCCGAGGTCCAAAAGGATGAAAGGATGGGATTCCCGGGGCCCTATCTGATCTAATCTTGCATCGTTTCCCTGGTACTGATATCATTGTATGTCCATCTGGCGGAGTATTTCCGATAAGGTCAAGGAGGATGTCGTGCGTGGCTTTATGATCGTAGAGAACCATTCCATACTTTCTGAATATGATCACGTACGGAGTAGTTAGTTCGCATCTCGCGCAAACTTTCTCCAACATCGCGCTATCCCATAGTCTATGAACGTCCCCACCCCAATCACCAAAAACCCTAAAATCCTCGACGGACATTCCTATCTAGCGTGTACATCATGCGGAGTACATATGCAGGATGTACTCCGTAATAACTATCGGTAAGCGCATCTAGCTCGGAGAGCTCCGGTTCGGCGATTGCCTTCGTACGTGAGCTATCAGGATCGACGACCACTTCCATTTCCCACAGTATTTAGCCCAAGGCTCAAAACCAAAAAAGTGGCTCTTTCCAACGTTCAATCCAGTCCGCCCGCGCCAACACGAGCAGATCATCTTTTCGCGCAATATCTTGTACGTAACGGGTTTGTCGGATTTCTTCGGTCTAGCTGATAGCCATGACCCGGCGCTTAGAGACAAGCCCACTGTTCTCCGCACGCGTTAACTCTCTCTTACGGTTCAGTGGTAGAAGCCACCGCAGCGCCATCAATGGCTTTGGAGCTGGTTCTGGATCTACGGGCTGAAACCACAGCCTGAGCTGAGATGAAACTTGACGCAGCAAACTTCCAGTGGCGGGCTTGTCTAGCGAGACTATTCGAAATGAGAACTACCTTTTAGTGAGCGCGATTCACAGACAACCTGGTGTCTTTCTCTGTCTTGTCTGCTGTCTGGCGCTTGGCTAGCAAGAGCCTATCCAGTCCTAATCGCAGCCTGAGACACGCCATCGGCAGTGGATACACAGTGTGAATGGCGTGCGTTGTTAGTAGCAAAACACTGGACGGTGTGCTCATTCCAAGGCGGGCCAGAGCGGGTCTCAATTCCTACTACAAAACTTTGATCCAAAAAGTGGTACCGTCGGCGATAGCTAGGTACCTTGCACATCACACAGCATAACTACATAATTCATGTCCTCAATACAGTTAGTGCAAACCTCTCCATGCCAGGTCCGCACACGTGCCACCATGGTGTACCCATCTTCTACCCACACAAAGCAAGAACCCACAAGCAACCTTGGCTCGAGGAAATCACCGTGGAGTCCGGCAAACCCGAATCTTGGATGGCGATCAGGCAACACGGTACATCGTACAATGTCGCCAAGCACACCACATCGAATATTGATTCATGAAACATTCACAGATTAAAGCATCCACACGAAGTTGCAATTCGGTACACCTCGGCCACCCAGCCCATGGTCCTGGAGCAAGCCACTCTCCGCCAAACCTACTCCGTACAGTGGAGATAGATACGAAGGGGAGAGAAACAATAACAAGAGTTAGGGTCTCGGCTGATGTGCCTATTAACTCCTGTCTCTAAATGGCGAACGAGACCAGGCGGATTGTATCGCATAAATAGAGTGCCAAGAGCTCCAACTCCATCTGCGGTCCGCGAATGGAAATACCGATGTCCACACGGAGTACAGCTGCTTGTTATATCCTCATTATTACCTGCTTAGGTACATGCCTCATGGGAAAGCGACAATGCCGAGCGCATCCGGTCCCCGGTGGGTGTATCGGACCGAATTTGATATTATCTCGGCTCCACGAGCCACATACCAACAGTGAGCAGTGTTCGGACCAAATACGGGGCTCTATGGTGGTTTGAAGGTTGCATCACATTGGCTGGGTTCTTCTCATGTGGATGCTGTTTTATCGTGTCAGCGGGATTCTGCCGACATGTTGGTTTCGAGGCTCCTCCTGGGTTTCTGTTGAGATATTCCGTATATCTGATACGAACCAATGAACAGAAATTGAGGTTTCGAATATGGATTTGGAATGAATTTGCACGTGAATATGTTGCTAACACTAATTCCAAGGTTCGGGAGACTAAAATATAATCACAATTTCAAGGTTGGAAAGCAACCATTTTGTGTTGATATTGAAGCTTATCCTGGTTGCAGGTCAAGCTCCCCAACAACAGCAAAAATAAACAACAAAAGGGCCTCAGGAATGGTAAATTTGAGATCACGCCCCCATAAGGAGTCAGTCTCTTCCTATCATAGAATCCATATTTCTCATCATCGACCATGTTTATGGAAGAAAGAGAAAGAGAAAGAAGGAAAAAGGCATCAAATGAAAAAATTGGCTCCTCGCATATGGCTTACATAATGAAAGTTTCTGTGTGTGCCGAAATCCTTGGAACCTTCCGTTAAAGGCAAACGGAAAAACTAAAGTTCCGGAGCTCATCATAAAAGCAAATCTCAACCTGCACCTTTCCTCTTCTTTTCTTTTCTTCTTCGTGCGGCGGCGCAACTCGATAACCCGTGTTGCCTGGACATCTACGGCCATTAGTCTGGCTTTCAGTGATGTTACTAGGTGTCAGTTGCGCCACAGACGAAGGGAATTGCACATTGATTCTTACCTTTATGGGTCTTTCTGATTTCACAAGGATGAGACCTTCTGGTGGGAGTCAAACATACTTTTTTTATTCTACTTTTGGGTATTTTATGTAGCACAATCTTAAATGGAATCAAGTGATCAAATTTTGCATAATTTTTACAGCCGAATGGCTCTTCTCGTTAGACATTTGAATTGTACTCTCATTGGCATAAAGTTGACAAAATGCCGATCCGTCCAAGATCTTGCTGTCTTCGAAAAATCATCCGAACAAGACAGCTCAGTTCTTATCTCCATAGCGTACGCTTGTTTTCTTCAGAGTCTATGTTGTTTACTCGCCAGGCTCGTCACCAATCTTCTCCAGCTTTCCCATAGATCGGTTTGCACCCGCCTCGCCAATAACACGAATACGGTCAACCCGCAGCTTCTCGCTGTCTCCATCCCCATCAACGAAGAACACAACCAGCGATGTCACATTCTGGAAGTTGACAAACCGCAGAGCGACCGTCGCAGTCCCAGTCTTCGCATTCCAATCACCAGGCTGAATCTCCACCTTCTGCACAGGCGGGATACCATCCGCCTCGTCAAATCCAAGCACGTGGGAAGTATTCTTGTAGATGTGCAAGTTCCTGGGCCGCATGGGTGTCTCGTCGTCATCGGCATCGGCGTCCGCAGGAGGGAGGGAAGTAATCTGAAGCGAGTGGACCTTCAGTGTCGAGTTGAATGGGATGTACAGCATCAGCTGCTCGTCGGTGTCGCTCTCAGTCCAATCCGCCTGGCCAGCAGCCTTGCCCTTGCCCTTTCCTGCTAGTCCAGAAGGCTTCGAGGTGTTGAAGAGAGCGCGCGGCTCTGCCGTATCCGTGTCCCGGTTCAACAGCTCCAATCCCTTCACGTCAACCTGATCTGTGATATCGCTGTAGCCCTTGGCCACTGTGCCGCCGACCCAGAGCTCGCCGGAGCTGCTTTCTTCGCCGGCTCCTGCTGCGTCATCTGACTGGCTTGCCTCGGATGCGAGCTTCTGGACGACCTGGTTAAGCTGTGCGGGGTTGGCGCCCTTGACTGTTTGGTTCACGCGGCCGTTCTTGAAGACGATGAAGGTCGGCATTCTAGGTATCATGGATTTTGTCAGTAAGCGAGGCAAATATTGTATAATTGGATGCGCGGGTCGGGCTAGATTCTAGATGTTTGGGTAAATTGCACATACGCTGTGACGCCGTAGGCCTGAGCGAGCTCTTGTTGGTGGTCGACATTGATCTTGGTGAATGTGATGTGATTCGGCCGGGAGAGCTGGGCGGCGAGCGCGTTATACGCAGGCGCGATAGCTTTGCATGGTCCGCACCAATCAGCGTGGACTATTCAAATATCAGGCCAAGGTTAGCGATAGCTCTGGTTGTTCGGAAGGGAAGACAGGGTCTCGGCGGGGCAGGATCGCGCTGCAGCAAATACTTACAGTCGGCGACGACGAGACGGGAAGAGGTGAGGAGCGATGAGAATTGCTGCTTCGATGAGATCTCAATGACAGACATGGTGAAGTTGGGAGGGGAAGAAGTGTGGAATGGAGGGTGGAAGAGGATGGAAAGATGTGAGCCCCGGAGGTTGTGTTTTGCTGCCTCCGCATATGTCATCAGCCCCTCTACACAATCAACAACCTCATATGAACCATGCCAGTGTACTATCTAATTATATTTTGTTTCAGCTAGCAACTATTGGATTATCTTTTGAAGTCTAGGACTACTTTGTACTCAACTAAAATGTCAACTTATTAAGTATGGTTTCCCAGAGGCTTTGGATATATATAGTCGCTATCAAATGTTTACCATGCGATTAAAATGGAAAAATTGAGAGTTTTGTTCTTGATTTTTTCTTGAAGAGAAGGTAAATATATACAAAAATATATATTCCTCTAGAGATAGAACTGAATATTGACGAATAGCTTTATGGTACAGCATTCAGCCTCATCTTTGGAGCTAGGTCTCGTCGGAAGGTAAGAGGTCGGAGTTGGGGTCCCGTAAGGGTGCATGGCTTTTATCTCAATCAAATTGAGATGGGTCCCATTGCGAGGATACCACTTGGTATGGGTTCCTGGTTTACACAAGGCCCAACGAGGTTGGTGCAACAAACCAGAAGAAACTGGTGGCGACCCAGGCGCAGAAGAGAAACCAAGCTCGGGAAAAAGAAAGCTCACAACCGAAGAATAATGAACATCTAAGCCTGTACCCTGTCGGAACCGACGAGTTGAGTCCCTGGACGAGACATAGACCAACGCAGACACGGGACCACAGGATGGCATCCATCACACAGCGACAAGTCATGAGCTGCATAGTGGGACACGAATTCCAACGGTATGATAGACAAGAGATGGTTACCAGGAAAAATACCATCTGATAATCCATCCCTTCATCCTTCATCTGCCTCAACGGCGAACATAATCTTCAACCAGAGACTGCACCCGCGACACCCGATAATGATCTCGCCATGCTCAGCCTCCCTCTCCAAATCCTCCTCGTTGACCAAAAACCCACGATCATCACCGCAGCGACATCCGCGGTACCAGCAGTCGCCGTCTTCCGCCTCCTCGCAAGCAAGATCCTCCAAATCCACAATCTCCAAGCCAGTATGGAACACATCGCCAGTATTTTCCCGTTCCGCGACCTTTAGCCTGTCCAGACGCAGAGAGCGATCATATTCGGCGCGGAGGGCGGGGTCCGATAGGGTCTTGTAGGCGGTGGTGATCTGGTCGATGGTATACAGTTGTTGGGACGGGTTGCCATCAGACTTTGAAAAGAGAGGGTTCGGAGTAGACGTGGATGTGGGATTAGTCGAACCGCCTAGCCCGGTATCCCTTGCTACAGCCCCCGCCTTGTCAGGGTGGTGCTTTAGCAATGCTTTATGGTATGCGATCTTGATCTGCTGCTTGGAGAGGACTGTTGACGAAGACCCCATAAACGGCAGAGACAGGACCTCATACAGATCAACAGCGTGTGTCGTCCTCGTCATGTCGACAAATTGTATTCCTCTTTCTGTTTAAGATCTGCTCGTCGTATCTGGCTGGTTGCGCTGTTTTCGTGTCCCGTGTCCCGCGCCGAGTCCTCGAGCGACCAGTCGGAGGTGCGCGCCAGGTTGTAATAGTGACACCTCGGAGTCTAGCGGAGAGGCCCAATCGCATGCATTTCAGGGAATGATTGTAATAATCTGGGGTAGCAGGGGCGATGCAAAGCGGGGTTGGTGAGCTTTGTTACTGAGAGATTTCCATGAGGATTTAAAAATGGTGGGTCGCCCTTGCACGCCACTTTGGGAGAGGGCCTTCCGGGCCTATACTTACGGATGTTAAGCGCTGGCTACTCTCTTTCTCTCTTCTATTTACTTAATATCCTGGCCATGAATATATATGTTCTTACAATATTCATGACCTAGTAAGGTATTGTATTCTCTGGAGCTCTACGACACAGCTTTGTTAAACCTCACCCGATGGCACTATGTGAACCATGCTAACGCTACATCCAATCCCAGGCGAAACCTACCTGAAGTGAATACAGCTGGGACTACTGGCACATGCAATTATGAAGTGAAATCTCTAAAGTTCCATTGGTAACGAGAAAAAAATAAATCTTAGTGAGTGATGACTCGGATATCAAGATAGGTATATGAAAAGAGACGGGAATATTATGCAATTTTTGAGCAGTCCCCTTACTCGGAAGTCTTGAAGACAAAGCGGTCCTCAGTCTTGAAGGGCACACCGAGCTCAAGGAGCTTGACAAAGACATCAGAGAACTCCTTGAAGAAGGCATCGTTGTCCTTGGCATAGCGCTCGACGTGCTTCTTGAAGCCCTTGTCCTTGACAAGAGCCATATCAGTGGGCAACATCATGAGAGTGCCAGTGGTCTTGTCAGTGAACTGAGTTGGGCCGTTCCACTTCTTCTGGATCCACTTCTCTTCAACAAGGAGGCGGAAGAACTCATTGGTGAAAAGAGTAGGGCTGAAGTTCCAGGGACCGTCAAAGCCGGAACGATCGGTGTGGCAGCGACCCAGAGCATGGGCGCCAATCAGTGCAACCATCTCGCGGTCATCAAAGCCCATGCGGGAGAAGACATCGCGGATGTGACGGTGGTCCTTGGCGGCGTCAGGAAGACGGCCGTCGGGAGTGCAGGCGGCGACATCTCTGTCCTCACGGCCGGGTCTCCAGGGGATCGAAGGGCCACTCGCCTCCTGGACCGCGCAGGCACCACCGAGAGTCCACAGATCGGAGTAAGTGATCCAGGGGAACTGAGCCTTGATGGGCTCGAGGAACTCGCGGGCAGTCTTAAGACCGGCGTTGGCGCCGTGATCAGACTCCGGGGCGAATCTCATAGTGGCACCGTTGCTGCCTCCAGTACCGGTCTCCTTATCATAGGTACCACTTGCGTGCCATGCTAGACGAACCAGGACCTGTTGAGAGTAACAAAAACGACCAGGTTAGCTCATTGATCTTGGATTACATCGAGCAGAAGTGACTCCACTTACGGGACCATAGCTGCCATCATCATAATCGGTCTCATCCGCCAGACGGGAAGCGATAGCGTCGTACACCTTCTGGTAATCGGCCTGGGTGGGGATGAAGGGCCCCTTAGGGGAGGAGTCGCCGTTCAGGTAGAGGTATGCTCCACCTGCAGCACCGAGGGCACCGAGACCAAGAGCCCAGAGGCCAAAGGATGAGCCAGACTTCTCAGAGCCAGCTTCTGAAGAATATCCGCGACGAGCAGAGGCGCGGAGACCATTGGCGGGGATGGCGAAACGGGTGCTGCGTGCAGCAGTACGGAAAGAGGAAGTCGCTGGGGTGGAGCGCAGGAAGGCCCGGGAAACAGTTCTGGCAGCCGAAGCCATTGTGATAGGACAGAGAGGGTATGAAATAAGAAGTCTAATGGGTGTTGACTCAGGGAAAGGAAAGGAAAGTAAAGGTGGGAGTACAAGTGCAGCCGAAGAGATAAGGGAAGAACCGGGGCATTTGTACTTCTCCTGTCACATTTTCCAATGTTGGTACAACTCCGAGCCAATACTTCGGGTACATCGTATAGAAGCTGATGGAATCACAACCAATCAAAGGGGCCACATATGCTATTATTGCCTCGGCGTTTCGTCTCGTCTCCGCATTCCAGTACAGTACATAAGTACATCATCCCCGGATTTTCACGATTTTCGCTTCTGTCCACTGTTTGTTATCTTCTTTATTGTTCCCAAGTACGATACTAGGAGATCGTACGTATCGAATTGACAATACAGGCAGACACCAGACGCGCGAGTATAACGATATCGCGGAATGGTATTATTAACAGCCGAGTTTTGCTTGGTCAATTCTGACCCACTCGGCCACTTCCGACTTGCTTACCTGATCGAACAGTATGCCCAGGTGCCCAGGCCCAGCTCAGTAATAATCAAGGTCTAGATATGGAGTAGTCTAGGTATACTTCGTACATCTAGATCTGTTGAATAAGATTTCAAATAAGCTATTTATTAATCTTTGAGTTCGAGTTCCCTTGGCAAAATTCAACGTTTTTAATGGTCTTGATCTTATTACCCATGGTTCTAGCTATCTGATTACCATTTCCATGAATGGTGCGTCGTTATCATAGTGATCCTCTATCACATGTATGCGTGAACAAATATGCCCTATTCTCGAATGAACTACTCCGTACCCAAAGGTTATACTCCAAGCCCTTGCTCTCGATGAATCCTCCAAACGCATCACAATTTCAATGTTTATAGATCAACTATGTTGTAGTTTGTTAGTGCTGTGATGAGAAATTATGTTGCCCTCCCTTGCCTCTTACGTTTTAGTCTCGACGACGGTGTCATTTTGCACTCGCTCTCAGTAAATTCGATCTGACTATTATACTACTGGAAGGGGTTTAAAGTCTATTTCCCCTGCGCTTGGGGAAGGATAAGAGAAAACAAGAGTCACGGGGAGAGTGAACCCTGCCTAGTTGGGATTGCATTCCCCCCCCCGTTACAGCCATATTGTCACGTGACCGTAGCATAGGCTAGAATTATCGTGTAATGGTACTGAGGTTCATATACAACCTCGGAAGGGAAGAAGTACGATGATTAATGATGCAGAACAAGGAATATGACATAATAGACAGTAAATTTGAAGATAGGATTTCATTATGAATTCGGGATGTCCGTCGTAAAAAAGTCCTGCTGTTCAATAGATATGAACACCAGGGTGGAGTAGACGCAGCTCTGCTAAAAACTGTTTGGTTTTGATATTCCACGAACGAACGATTAAAAATCACCCAAGAGACGTCCAGTGCCACAGGTAGGCACCACGCGGGTTATGTGGTTTGAAGTTTATATATCTGAATGTTGGATCCAAGTCCTCAACAATCCTCGACATTAAAGGATTGGAGTCTCAAGGTCTCCAACACACAAATGATTGTTAGAGAAGAAGAAAATGTGTGAAGTGAAAAGCTTTTTATCTTAATCCGAGTTGCACGTGATTTAACTAGCGCAGTCACATGACCATGTCCTTTTGTATCGAAAATTTCCGCGCAAATTGGCGACTTTTCTTCTTTACACTTTTCCGAACGCATAATCAACCGCCAATTCCTCTATCATAGGATGGTAGGTCATATTGGCGTACTAGAAGATATTCCTGGGTATCATTATGACTTCTCGACGGCTCCGAAAAGGCTTCGGCCTCTAGGCGCATTGGTAGATGCGAGTCATTGCTGTCCGGACATGCCATTTAGTTTTTTTCTTGTTAGTATCAATATACACATAATTCGTGACTTTCTTTCGGAATCCCGTATGAGCCTAGGCCCAAGCCTAAAAATACCTTAAGACTTCTAAAGTGTTCTAGAAGATCGCGCTTACAGAGAAGGCTATGCCCAGAAAAAAAGGGACATTGATACATGAGATTGCCAACTCAATTTAACTTAATTCCATTCAACCTTGGAATAATTGAGCTAAAATCCTTAGATCCTGGCTTCTCTACTCTATCGTTCTTTATACCAATGTACTTTCCGTACTCCCTACACTCCGTAGTGTATATGTCTCATTTGGAATGATCTGCCCCTCGGACGTCGATTGAACCCTTCTCCGCCCTGGGAACCAGAATTCTTCCCCTATTCCACTTTGTATTACCGCCACTTCTTCTGTTTATTTATTTATTCTTGTAATTATCTGTTTTGCATCATGGCTCCCGGCATCAGCAAGCGCGAGCAGGCGCGGAATGAAAAAACCCTAACGGAGCTGATCCGCACCGTTCCTGGCAATGACCGATGTGCCGATTGCGATGCCCTTTCCCCAGGTTTGTCCTTACAGACCCTTATTGTTGATCTCACTAATTCTGATTTTAATAGGATGGGCAAGTTGGAATGTATGTTGCCGCTTCTTTTACCTTCGAACGAATCCAAAAACTGACAGTTCATCTCCGACAGATGGGCATCTTCCTTTGCATGCGTTGCGCCGCGCTACACCGAAAGCTGGGCACACATATTTCCAAGATCAAATCTTTAACCATGGACACATGGACAGCAGAGCAAGTCGATGTGAGCATAGTCCGGAATTCCGCAATAAGAAAGGTCACGAGCTGACAAAGTGGACTTTACTAGAGCATGAAATCGCACGGTAACATCCTTATGAACAAAATGAATAACCCGCGGGGTATTAAACCGCCAATTCCCACCGACATTGACGAGGCCGATGCATGCATGGAACGGTTTATCCGGCAGAAATATCAACACCGTTCATTGGAAAATGGGAAGCCAAAGCCCCCGAGCAGGGAGGATTCGAGTTACTCCAACCCTAGGGCCCGGTCCCCCGTGGAATCGAGAAAGAATGACTACGACATATCTCCCGAGGGGTCTCCGCCTCCGCTTCCGCCCAAGTCTGGAAGGTTTTTCAAGTTTGGTCTACGGTCGTCATCCTCTGCCTCGAACCTCCGCCGATTTGGTGGTAAACCCAAGGTGGCTTCGCCAACCTCGGAAAGCGGAGCCTGGTCACCACCATCGCCATCCAGGAGGACGACAGGACTCGGCGCGCCTGTTGCCGATGTGACTACGGCATCTTTCGAGTCCAAAATGGCGGCATTGCAGCAGATGGGCTTCACCGATGACCGACGAAACGAGATGGTTCTCAAGGGACTCCATGAGGATCTGGATCGAGCGATCGAAACACTGGTTAGGTTGGGCGAGGGGGGCAAACCTGCATCAAGATCCAGGACCCCGATCGGGACAAGCAGTGGTGTATCTGCACGTATAGTAATCCCGAAGCCTGAGACGTCCAAAAACCCATTCCCCGTCACAACCGACAACACATTCCCTGAGGTTTCCAACAACCCATTTGACCGGGCAGTCTCAAATCCTGTCGCCCACTCGCAAACCCAGCAACCACAGACTGCTGCGTACAACCCATTCGATCAGCTAAACTCGAACCCTGCATCTACACAGCCTTTAGAATCATCTTTCCAGGGCCTGCAGGTCTCTCAGCCTTTGTTCCCCCACTCCACTGGTGGATACCCGAACCAGACAAGCTCCATGCAGCACTCTGTATACCAACAGACCTATACGCCTCCAGTCACATCGACATTCTCGCAGTCTCCTTATGTTACTTCGCCTCAGCCAATGGAAAATAGCTACAATCCATTCGACCAGGCACCGCCGCAGCCGCAGGGTGGCTTGGCCAGTCAGACCTACCCCAACCCCAATTCGCCGCAAACAAACCCTTTCTTCAATACTGCACCGCAAAACCAACCCACGCAGCCGCAACAGCAGCAAATGACCCCGCTTGCAACGCAACCGGGGGGCTTTGAACCACCTCGCCATGCAAACACCATGCCATTCATGTCTTCCGCCTCGCCATTTGGAACAAGTGCTCCTTTCCAAGTACAGCAGCAGCAGCAACAGTCGCAGATGCAGATGCAGCCGCAACAACAGCAGCAGCAGCAGCAGCAGCAGCCATCAAATGGTCTGGGAGCATACAATCCATTCCAGCAAGGGCTGGCGCCGAACACAGCACAGAACACAAACGGCTATCCCAGCCAATTCCAGTCCCATCTGCAACCACAGCAGGCGCAGCAACTCATGCCTCAACCCACTGGAATGGATAAAAACAGTATTCTTTCATTGTACAATATGGGTCCTACGCAGTCTAATATGACACCTATTCCCGAGCAACCCCAGCAACCCCAGCAATCTCAGCAATACCAGCAGCCCCAGCCCCAAACCCCCACGATGAACCCCTACTCTCAACCATCAAACCCATACACCTCCATGTCTCAAACCCAGCAAGCCACAAACCTCCAGCATCAGCCCCAGACTCAGCCCCAATCCCAGCCCCAACAAAATTTCCAGCCCCAGCAACCTACCGCAAACTCCCAGCCCACCACAACCAATAACCCATTCTTCGGAACCGCCTCCACAGGCAGCGGATCCGGCCTTGCCGCACAAGCAGGCATCAATCCATACCAGCAGCAATCCGCAGGGCTAGGAATTGGCGGCATGAACGGCCAACCCGGGGCCGGAACTACTCCCGGAACTACTCCGGCCATGGGAACGAACAACTCCCCATTTTCGGGAATGAGCAGTCCCCCCTTTGCAGGAGCGAACAGCTCCCCATTTGCTGGAGGCCAGTCCCCCTTTTCAGGGCCTCCGCCCACGAACTCGGCGTTCCCACGGTCACACATGAGCCAGCCGAGCGTTGATGTGAGCGGCCTGCAGAAAGGTCGCCATAGCCCTGATGCCTTTGCTAGTCTGAGTGCTCGCTATGGTTGAGTTCTATGAATTCGGCCTTGGATCATAGTTAGATGGCCAAGCAATTTCACTCTGAATATTGACATGGGGATTGACTTTCATTTTCATTTTGACTATTATACTAATCTGGATATAGAACCTTGACGAGCCGTGTTATGGTTGTGCATGTCTGGCGCATTTTGATTGTCTGTTTGCCACTCATTAGATTTACTTTTCATTTACTTTTCATCTCATTTCCTGTCATCCATTCTTTTTATTGTTCATCAAAATATTCCTTTGTTTGCCGTTAGCGAGTCAAAATAGTACATAATTGTTGTGTCTTGTTACATAAGAATTTCGAACTAATATATCACTGGTTATTCAAGACAGATTATCGTACCGTAAATCTAGGGCTATATGTTCAAAGAGAAACGAAGACACAAAAGAGAAAGAGTAAGGGAACGTGGAAGGGAAGGAAAACCCCCGCAAGACCACATATATAACACAAAATAGCTGGAGACCAAAAACGCCAGGATCTCAAGACCACAACTCTGCTTCCGTAGGTCTCTTTTTAGCTCCGCCCAACCAAGACGGTAACCTAGGAAGCCAATCCAATGCCCAAGATGGAAGCCGATCCGATATCCAAGAAGGAAGCCAAGCTGGCTTCTGCTTCGAGAATGACAATCTCGCTACAATGGTCTCCCAACGAGTGGGGGGACGCCAAGGCCAAGAAACCGGTGTTGTTGGAGGGGACGAGAAAGGAGACTTCATCGAGAAGGGAAATTTCATCGAGAAGGGAGACTTCATTGAGAAAGGGGACTTCATCGAGAAAGGAGACTTCACCGGGACAAGAGACTTTGCTGAATCTCGCAACGACTCAAACAATGAAGGAGACGATACGGACCAAGGCGTCGAAGACGCGTGGAAGCCCATCCATGACTTCTGTTTTTGCTTGCGTCCCTCTTGCTTGAACGCTTCCACGATACGATCGAATTGCTTATCTCGGCTTTGCTGCGCGTGGCGTTGGGAATTGGAACGCCAAGCGTCCTGCTCGACCGTGTCCATGCACCAGACTACAATGTCGCCGCGACGACGCCAGTCGTCGTGCCAGGCTGTGTTGAAGGTGCGCCAGCACTCGTCATAGTGGGCACCGCGCAGTAGGGTATGGAGGGTTGGCTCGAGCTGGGCGAAGAAGATGAGGTAGTCGGGCCATTCGTATACTGGGGTCTCATCAGGGGTCAGTCCTGATACAGAATGATGTGTGGCAGCGATGTAGCTGGGTCGTCGAGGGAGGTGACGGAGACCACCAGCCATGTTCTGGCGTAGGAATTGGTCTGGGTCGTCGTAGAATTGGTCTGCTTCGTCCCGGTAAACAGCTTTTTGGGTTGCGTTGAGATCGATCGGTGGCTCACAGGAAAGGGCCCACGCGTTAATTGTTGGGTAGACTAGATGAGAGCGCCATGGTGTGCTGTGGCAGGGCATCAAAAAGCCAGCAGAGATTCCGGTTTCAGATGTGGAGTTTGTTCGTCTTTTTGGTGTTGGTACCGAGTGTGCTTGGTGCTGCTGACGGAGATAGGAGAGGACCTTAAGTGTTCCTGATGCATGATGGAGAGTTGTATATAGCGCAATGACCACATTTACAAGCACGAGAAATATGAGAATCAATCTGCGGGGAGCATGACGCGGGTATGCCCGCGAGTAGATGGCTGGGTAAAAGAACTGTACCAAAGGCGGCGCAGCTAAGATGTGCAGGGAGGGCAGCAATGGGTAGATGAAGCGCACTTCCTTATGGGAGATCAAAGAGAGGACAAATGGCATCAGAAGACAGACTATCGCCAATTGTACTCGGATCGCCGCCTGCAAACTGTCTCCCACCGTGGATTTCCGAGCTGTCAAGGTTGTATACAAACCAATGACCGCAAAAGGCAATAGAGTGGTGAGTAGAAGCGGATAACCCTGGGAGATATAGTAATGCCAGTCATTGCTGCCATAAAAGACAGCCAGTGACTGCGCGATGTTGAAATATAGGAACCTGAGTGGTGGGAAGGTCCAAATTCCATAGAAGAGATGGTCCGCAACCGAGGACACAGCGAGAATTGCCGATCTACCAGATCAAAAGGTCAGCTGGTCCCTTATCAGGAGGTCAGAGTACTTACCCGCAAAGTATGACTTCAAAAATGAGGATCTTGCGCTGGGGCCATGACGTCCGAAGCCAAGCGATGCTGGCCAGGGTTGCCCAAACCAGGATGTTGGTTGGCCGTAGTATACATGCGAGCGCCGCCAGCGGCAGGGATTTATGGAGGCTGCAGGTAGCGTCAGTGGCTGTTGTCATAAAGTTGGAGGTCTAGTCATACCTAAGAATCACACTTCGATCCCGGTCCGTGCCCCTCATTTGATTGCTAGTGTTTTTGTAGCGGCGATCGCCGGCTGTAGAGCCTACCGACAATTGCCATGGCCATAGTTCCATCGCGACAATGGTGATTGTTGTTTCGAGACAGTTTGACAGGGTCCTAGTGGAGCAGAACCATTGCCAGGGATTTAGGACCGTTGCGACCAGCTGTTGAACAATTAGCATGCGCTCTTTCCTGTCCAGAGAAATTCTGGACACGCGACACATAATCACATACCGTTGTCCAGGACCCACGGGAATCATCTCCATAAACGCGCACTGCAAGCTTCCATGTGTAGAAATCACCGATTGCCGCGACAACGGCCTGCGCTGTCTTGGGAGCGGCAATCAGGAGCTCTGCGCGCACGGCAGGAGAAACTCTGAAGGTGAAGGCGAGGAAATCGGCGGCTTTATAAAGAGCGGCGAATAAGAAAGGGTGTAGCGAGGATCGGAGTTGGTGCCGCCATTCCTAAGAGCGATATTGAAGTTTAGCCAAAACCATGTGCTCACGCGATCGCATTCACTCACCCATGTTACCCAGGCCCCTTGACCTTGACCGAACGCGATCTGCCAGGCTGGCTCCAGCGATTGAAAGTATTCATCTGGTTGGAAAAAAGTGCGAACCACGAAAGCATTCACGAGACGAAAGGCGATGAGGAGGAGGAGTATGTTTTGAGTGGGTGCGCGGGGGGTTTGAGGCGCGCGGCGCGGAAAGTTTGGTGTAGACATGATCAAGAATAAGAATATTGTGAGTACTCATTCATTCTATCTTACATTGCGCTTGGAGGTTCAATATGTCTGACCTCGCAAAGCGCATGAATGAACATGGATAACAAAGGAGACCTCGGGCGGAGGATGTTCTCCCCAACTCCGAAACTCCAACTACTTCAAACCACTTAATTAACACTTTGGACCCTTTGTCCCATGGTTTTTTTTGTTTCAATTATAATTGATTTTGATTTCAGAATGATTCTTTATTTCCATATCCATCTCAAAGGTTAAAGTATATATTTTTCTTCTTTTCCTTCAATAACCGAAGTATGACGTGCATTGTTAGCCTCTCTCTCTCTTCCTGGTTCAAATTAGACCAAATAAGCCAATAAACCAATAAACCAATAAACCAATAATTAATACCAGGAATACGATCCTAGAGCATATATAGTCAATGAACGAATCAGAAATCGTGGTTATCAAAGCCAATGGAGCCGTGTAGGGTAATCCTGCGCATAGGGAACAACATCGGCACGACCTGTACTTAGCGGTCATCCCGTCCAACAGGTCTAACACTTAACGGAATAGCGGCTGTACAAGGGAAAAATTCCCCTTACTTATAAAACTTCTCTTGTCTTCCATATTATTTCGATTAGGAATTTCTTCAATTTCTTCAATTCCATCTTCTTTCCTTCTTTACCCCATTGTTGATCCCCATTACCTCCAACTTCCCCCAATTTTCCTAGCTCTCCCCGCAATCCACCATGGCTACTAACGGGCCTTTCTCCCACTACCATGCTGCCTCTTCGGCCGAGGCTATTGAGTCCGAGAAGGAATATGCTGCCCATAACTACCACCCTCTTCCGGTTGTCTTTGCCCGGGCTCAGGGTACTTCGGTCTGGGACCCCGAAGGTCGTCACTACCTTGACTTCCTCTCCGCCTACTCCGCTGTGAACCAAGGCCATTGCCACCCCAAATTGATTGCTGCACTGGTAGACCAAGCTTCGCGAGTAACTCTGAGCTCCCGTGCATTCTACAATGACGTCTTCCCCCGCTTTGCCAAGTTTGTTACCAGCTACTTTGGCTTTGACATGGTGATGCCCATGAACACTGGCGCCGAGGCCGTTGAGACCGGTATCAAGATTGCCCGTAAATGGGGATACAAGGTCAAGGGAATTCCGGAAAACAAAGCTATCATCTTGAGTGCAGAGAACAACTTCCATGGGCGTACAGTAAGTGAATTGTGACCCCCTCTTTGTTACACCCGTGGGGGGTACATCAGTGGCTGATTATGTTGACCCCTTGCATTAGTTCGCCGCCATTTCCCTTTCTTCCGACCCCGAGTCACGCGAGAACTACGGCCCTTATCTTCCCGGTATCGGATGCACGATCCCAGGAACCGAGAAGCCCATCGCCTACAATGACAAGGCAGCTCTCCGCGAGGCGTTCGAGGCGGCCGGCCCCAACCTCGCTGCTTTCCTCGTCGAGCCTATCCAGGGTGAGGCTGGCATCGTTGTCCCCGACCCAGACTACCTGCAGGAGGCCCGGGCACTCTGCGATAAGCACAATGTGCTGCTGATCTGTGACGAGATCCAAACTGGTATTGCTCGCACAGGTAAGCTGCTGTGCCACGAGTGGAGCGGAATCAAGCCCGACCTTGTCTTGCTCGGCAAGGCCATCTCGGGTGGTATGTACCCGGTTTCTTGCGTGCTGGGTAGCAAGGAAGTCATGCTCACCATCGAGGCCGGCACTCACGGTTCGACCTACGGTGGTAACCCACTTGGTTGTGCCGTTGCTATTCGCGCGCTTGAGGTCGTGCGCGAGGAGAACATGGTCGAGCGTGCGGAGCAGCTCGGCCACTTGTTCCGGGATGGGCTGGTGGCTATCAACAGCCCGGTCATCCAGACAGTACGTGGAAAGGGTCTGCTCAATGCCATTGTCA